GACAAGGTCCCAATTACGCCGGACGTGGTCAAAGCAGTGGCAGGGAATACGTGGCACGGGAAAGAGTTGTTGGAGCTCCTTCTAGAGAAGCGAGGGGACGAGGTCCCGATCACGCCGGACGTGGTCAAGGCAGTGGCAGGGAATGAGTGGAACGGAAAAGAGCTGATGGAGCTCCTTCTGGAAAAGCGAGGGGATCAGGTCCCAATCACGCTGGACGTGGTCAAGGCGGCGGCATGGAATGGGAGGAAAGGAAAAGAGGTGATGGCGCTCATTCTGGAAAAGCGAGGTAACCATGTCCGCGTCAGGCTTCTAAGTTGGTGGTGGTTTAACACTGCGGCTAGGTGCCTGAGCGACGTGACAAAAAGGGTCATCCGATAAGAAAGCAAGATTTGGGATGCCACGACGGGCCAATACGTCGCGAAGCTCAAGATAGCCGGGTTTCTTTCTTCTCTCCAATTTGATACGACGTGGTCCACCGTTGAGCGGGACACTTTTCTAGACCGCACTACTACAAACAGCCAAAGTCTACCACTACTCTAGTCAAATCCATTGCAATTACTCAAATTCCCTTGAACTAACGTGCATTATCAGTGAGTGGCCCATATCAGTGAGTGGCTCACTTTCTACGCCACGCGACACCTCTGCTCCTGACAACAAATTTCCTCTACTACCCAAGATGCCACCTACTTTAAATTGTTGTGGGTGGGGGTCCAGTTATATAAGATGCAGGGCGTATGGGCTTCAGGAGACCAGGATCCATGTTAGGAAATGTATTAGTAGACGTGGATTAGGCGCCTTATCGGGTTAAGCTCGCCGGGCGGAATAATTGTGTATGTGTGTGTGTGTGTGTGTATGTCTGTGCGCGCGCGCGCGCGCGCGTGTGTGTGTGTGTGTGTGTGTATGTCTGTGCATGTGTGTGTGTATGTGTGTGTGTGTGTGTGTGTGTAAGGTGTGCGTCGAAGAAAAGGAATAGGATGGGCGAGAGGGGAGAGCCTTGTGGCAGGCCTGCCCGCGGTAGCTTTCGCCTTCCCACGGCATATCGTTGATCTGGATCGAGGCCGCGCGTTCGGAACAGAAAGCATCCATTCCACCTACAGAGCTGCTCCGGTATGCCGCGCGCCTTCATCCCCTGAACCAGCCGTTCTTAGAGACACGTCTCGATGATTATTTGACGGCATCTATAGTTAGCCATATGGAGCATTGCTTCCCCAACAGAGTTATCGCTGCATTTGTCAGGCTGCTTGCAGCCCTATATCTCAAATGGAAATGATACAGCGTTACTGTCAGTGAGCCAAAACTATTTGAGGTGGTTAAGCAGTATAAGTAGTTTCATTACCAACCGCACTGCACGCCGGACTTCAACGCGGTTCAGAATCTCCCCGTTTCCCCACCTTCTATCGCAGCTTTAGACACCTATCGTCTCCTCCAGCGCTCCTACACACCTCGATTACGCAGCGTCGGAGCCCACGTTGGTCTGGCCTTCGCCTGCAGGGTAGCCCGTGCTGAGAGTCGCAGATCCATTTAAGGGAGACAGTTGAGAGTCGAGATAGGGCGGGAGATTCGTTAGAACGTCGGCCGGTTCGGGAATCAAAGCAGCTGCTTGGACCAAGTTGTTCTGAGATGTTGAGGAAAGCGACATTTACAAGTGGCGTTGAAGATATCCTGTTCAATCTGCCTCCGGACGCCGAGTAGTTTGATCAACTGCTTTCTACAGTCGTCAATGGTAGTGTCTACTCCTGCCAAGCACTCCTTCCAGACCGTCTCTTGTCCAATTCCTCCTTCAGTAACAAGTCCCTCGAAAACGCCTCCTTTGTCTTCTTCGTCCAAAGCATCAGAGGTTCCGTATCCCATTGCGCATTGATTGTATCGGAGTTGCCTGAAACCTTCCTGTTCTCTGTCCAGTGACTCGTGTTTTCGGGGATGTGGAAGGAAAATGCAGTCTGACGAGCCAAACTGTCGATCACTGCATACTTTTGTTAAGCAGAGGGTTGTCCCACCTGTGGTCAGCCGAGCTCGAGGCGTTATCCAAGTTCAGCGAGAATGGGGATATCAACAACGTCCATCGGGAGATCTTGATGCAGTGCTTCGCAACCGCCCGTTAACAATAAGTGCCTAACTAGTTAAGCTCCGGGAGCCTCAAATTGGCGGAATCTTCGACCACTCAATCGCGCCTTACCGCAACATCACAGGTGGGCAGTCGCTAGGTATTTGCTGAGTTTTCTGCCATGCCACTGAAATATGTCACCTTGTACTGATTGAGATTACATCATAGGTTCTGGAGGGCATCAGCAACTATCGTGCCTGCCTTCGCCTTCGAGTGGAGGTACTGGCACTACGCGCAGGCGCATGTGCATGCGCGGATTGATTAACCGGTCGCTACGTTCCTGTTTGTGACCTTTACGCTTCTGGACATTGTTCATCCGGTGATCTATCTGCGGTTGGCGAAGCAAGATAAGCGCAAGACCATATGGTCAGACATGCTTCAAGCGAGACCATTGGCAGGGGACTTGGGAGCGGAGACTACATTGAGCGGCTCAATCACCACCGTTTATATCCTAGTGGTGGTCACACACTCATCGTTTCCTTGATTGTCGATATGGGTTTTTCACCCGGTCCACGAGGGCGCGGTTTTCTTGTATAGTAAGTTGTTGAAGGTCCGGCACGCCCTAGGGCACAGCGGTGTAGGAATAATAATAATAATTCATCCTAGTGGTGTCTGCAAAAGGGGTGTTGGTCAACAAGGGTGTGGACATGAGAAAAGACGGACGTTATCGTACACCCTTGGGTAGGCTTCCCGGACATTTATTCCCTTCACGCCCAAGCCCCAAAGCTTCGAACGACATCACGCATAAGGATGAAACGGCTTTGCATGGAATCCCCGCCTTGGCAGGAGCTGGAAACGGATCCTACAGTGTCCTAGGGGCTCGAGATTATCTCCAGGCAGAGCCCTCTCACTTACACCAGCAGTCGAAATGTGAGAAGAACATGACCGAGTGTCGCACACTGTGTCATGTTTGAGGGCTTCTTGGGCATTAACTCACCCCAAGTTACTCAACCTGCATGCCCATCTCACGATGACTCATCCTCCTCCCACGGCCAAGCCGCACGGCGCTGCTGCCGCTGCCCACTCGAATATGTCTTCTGGTACAGAGCGCTCTCTTTATGCGACAACGCTCCGTGGGGCCCCTTGAGCACATGCTCCGGCGCGTCCACTATGTCCATGTCGATGTAATACACCACCCTCCCCTCCGTCGCTACCGCGTCCACCGACACGTGGATCACCTTTGTGATCCACCCGCGTACGTCCCGCACCATCAAGCTCGCCTTGCTATTCTCCCTGCCGCCAATCGCCGCGGCCATTTTGTCCGCGTTGCCCATGGCGAGCTGCGCCTCCCGCTGGCTCACCGACACGATGCTCACCCACGGCGCCTCCTCGCCGGAGCGCCACCCAAATGCGAGGAAAAAGCCCTCGGCGGCGCCTACCACCTCTTCGCGCACGAGCTCGCAGTCGTACCGCGCCAGGAACTGCGCGCACGCCGCGAAGCTGCCCGTACCCTGCGTCACGAACATGCGTCGCCGGCGGTCGAACTGCTCCTCCGGCAACACCATGTTCGCGTAGAAGGGGAACGCCGGGCTGTACGTCGTTGCCAGGTCGTTGAACCCGCGCCGAAGCACCAGCGCCCGGTCCTGGCTGCCCTCAAGCTCCAGCGACTGCTCCGCGGACACGGCCCGCGCCAGGAAGATGCGGCCTACTGTGGCCTTTGCGCCAGGCGGCTGGCGCGCGTGCTCGTGCGGCCGCACGCGCGTGTATATGCCGCCGCCGTGCTGCTGGATCCAAATGCCGAGCTGCTCCCCGGGGGTGGCGGTGGGGGAGGTGGAAGCGTGCTGCCCTTGCTTCAGCGAGGACGGGCGGTCGATATTGTCGACGTGCGCGCAGTTGAGGCCGAGAAAGTAGGCAGCATCTTCCCCGGCGAAGATTCTCGCGTTCATGCGCAGCCCTTTGTTGGTGATGATGAACTCCGGGTTGTATGCCGTGCTGCTGAGCAGCTGGATAGACGCAGCGCCGCGGAACTCGGCGGGCGATGAAGCGAACACGCCACGGTGCGTCTGCTGCTGCGACTTGCCCGCTGAGAATACCCGACTGTCTGCTTTTTGTCCAGACACAGCAGCGGCCGTAGAGTCTTGTGCCATCCACGCAAAGAGAGAGAGGTCGTTGGTCTGTGACGCGATCGCCTCCTGCAGCCGCAAAAAGGCCCTGTCGCCCTCGCCGTAGAGCATCGGCATGTTGACGTCGAAGATGCCCAGCAGACAGTAGGCCATGTCCTCGGCGCGCGTCGTCTCGCGGCCTGCCGCCCAGGCCATGCGTGCGGCAACCGACAGACGACGCATCCCGGCCGGGTTGGCGAGCACCTCCTGGTTGACGCTGGTGATGCGCGTCAGCTGCGCGCTGAGATTCGCCTTGGTGCCGCGGAAGTGCCAGTCGCGGTCGTAGAACTGCACAATCCGCGGCGCGATGAGCTCCTGCAAGGTCCAGCCGCGCGTGAACCAGCGGCACTGCTTGAGTCCCAGTATCGTCCTGGCGTGCTGTGCTGGTGGATGTGGATGTTGCTGTGCCAGCGACAGCCTGGACAGGGCGGCCGCATCCTCCGCTTCCGCTTCCGCCTCCGCCTCGGGCGCCAAGTCGGCCAGCCAGGCGAAGCAGATGGCTGCGGCGGCGTACCACTGGAACATGGAGTTGATGGCCTCGGTGAGCTCGGCACTGCTGCGCTTGTCGATGCAGCAGGTGTCGACCCACGAGTGCGTCAGCCCGACGCGGCGCGCGAGCTCGCACGTCATGGCGATCTTGCCGAACCCTTTCTTTAACGTTCGCGCCTGGGGGTCCGCGTCGGTAAAGTCCTCGAACGTGACCTCCTCGTCCTCCCAGGTGTGCGAGAGGATCGCGTAGGCCGGCGGCGTGCCCATGAAGAACTCGAGCGCGAGGCTCTCATTGTTGATGAGCCGCATGGTGAACGGCTGGGCTCGATGACTGCTGCAAACATGCAAGCTTGCGCCGGGGAGATGGCGCGATGTGGGAGGTGCGAGGGTGACAGGAAGGTTTTGGTGACTTGAGCCGTTTTATTGTGATCTGTGTGTCAATTTGATGATGCGGACGCTGTCAGGGGGTTGAACCCACGCCGCATTGGCTGTTTAGATCGCCCTAGCCAAGCTTCTCGGGTAAGCCATCTCCCCGTCGACAGTTGCACTGGTCCACTAACGTGTAATCCATCAGTCGTTGAATCGCGCCAGCCGCCTCTCTCACGTCTTGCAGCACTTGCTAAGCAACGTCTCGAGTCCAGTATAGATACCTCCTCACCTATCACAAACGTAGTCCCATTTGAGAAAGAAGAGGAAAAAGAAAAAGAAAAAAGAAGAAGGAAAAAGATGCGCGGCGTGACGCTAGCGGGCCCCGCACGGCTGGGCGCGTCCCGAAACCGAGGACACGATCACAGTCGCGCCTGAAGGAGGAGAGAATGGTGTTTTCACCCAGCGGCGTCTGCGAAAGCCGAGCGCAAAGGCAAAACAGAATGAAATCGTTCAACACGCGCTCGATGCAGCAGTGCTGTCCTCGGAGAAGCAGATCGGAAGTGCTGCGCGAATGAGATGCAGGCGAGGACAAGCGGGAAGGGCAGCGAGAACGAACACGCGAGAATACAGACAACGCAAGAACAAATGAACAAGTAAACCGAGATTCTCAACATCATACTAGAGGCGTGAACGGGATGTGAAATTCACAACAAGGTGATGTAGGCCGAACTCGGCCGCATCACGGATGCGCTTCAAGCGGTGAAGGAAGAGTGCCAGGCGACCAAGGAAGAGTGCTAGGCGACCAAGATCGAGCTGCACAGAACCAAACGGCAAGTAGGAGACGGTACTCCAGCCCTGACATCTGGCTCGGGTAAGCCCAGGCCGTCCTACGCAGACGTCGCGCGCACCCCACCGACTAGCCAGCCACGTAATGTACGGACGCTCTCACCCGAATACACGGCCCCGTCCACTCTCACTGACGCGCTGTACTGCACCATTGACACCTCGTGGGTGGAAGAGGCAGCCGTGAACCGGGTCTCAAGTTGTGCATTTCGGGTGATGGTGGAAAGCCGAATCCGCGCCGAACAGGAGGACCTCTCATGGCGTTGCCAAGCAATGAGCAAAGACTCCAGGGACCCTCACCGAGTGAGGATTGCCTGCAGAAACGAAACGGAACATCTGCAGGTGAAACTAGTGGTAGGAGCAAGGCCGATGCGAGGAGCACGAATCTTGCGAGACGTCCTCTACCCCATCCGAATAGAGTCTGAGTCAATAGACGGTGTCAACCGCACCGTGGTGGTAGATGAGGCAGGTAACAACCTGACAGGTATAGCCGAAGCTCTAGGCAAAGAGAACGACACCAGGATCGCGAAAGGAGCGTGGCTCAGCAAGCGGAACGTCCCGAAGGCCTACGGATTCATAATGGTGTAAGTCAAACCCCCTGCTTGTGGGCACCCCCCACATTTGGGCACGTATTTTCCAGGATGCAGATGTCCACCACAACCACTTTTAATGTTCCTATTCAGTACTCTCCTTGCCTCGCTGGTCGAGGTAGTTTTGGTAGCCTAAACAGGAAAGTAGTTTCCTAATCTTGTAACGGGCTTGGCCCGTAAAGGCCTCGGCAAACTCTCGGCCAAGACTCGAGATTCGGTGGACTTCTATCTTGTTCGATATCGGCGCACAGGCCAAGGATGTGGAGGTATAAGGCGGCAGGTATCTCGCATAGTGTCTCACTCTTTTTCTTCTTCTCTCTCCATTCGAGACAAACTCGTAGAGTCGTCACCAGCTAGTTGCAATATTGATACCGGAAGGTATCGCGCAGGGTTAGAGCTAGGTGTTATACCCCACCATTGGTGGGGTGGTTGTTTGTATGTAGATAAGTAACGCTGCCCCACTCTGGATCGTGGGATATCTCCCACCACTGCAGTTGCTGCTTGCAACTACCAGAGGACGACATCCTGACTTTTCCCCGAATACATGGCATTTGCCCTCTTTTCCCAGCATACGGCTCTTTTCCGTATAAAATATACTCCTGGGACCGTTACAGAGCGCGTTTTCGTACGGTTGGTACAACCGCTTCAACAACTGTTACCTCCCCCCCTTGAGCCTCCATACGAGCTTCCTGGGCCTTTGGGGTCTTTGGGGCCGCCGGCTCCCTCGAGGTACTCGACGCCCTTGGTATGGGCCTCGAAAAAGAGTTCAAGGAAAAGTGGTTTGTCGATATGATGGATGCCAACTGCCATCTTTCCCCTGACCAAGTCACCATATACCCGCTTAAGGACCGAGAAGCAACCGACATCGAGAGGCTGGTGAAGGTGCGACGAATGTGGTGGTATACACTCGATAAGGATCGAATTCTCCTTGCAGAATTTGACGAACTCTGGTGTCATATGGCTCCCATGGCCATCGAGAATCAGGAGGCGGTACCGGCCAACTGTTCGGCTTCGAGTTTGCGGCTCAAATACTCGCTAAAGCCACTCGAAAGTAAGCTCATAGGTCGTCCAGCCGATCTCACTGACTGCAATCCTCCAAGTGGTTGGCAATGGCGAGTCTTGGTACCATGTTGAGATATGAAGCTTTCCCTCAAAGATGATCATTGGGTCAAGAACCCAGCCAGTGGCGTTGATGCACTCGATGACAGTTGCCCACTCCCGATTCCCAGGCTGAACAACAACGGGTCGATTTCGCCGATCAGATCGAGTGACAACCTTTGCCGTGCTTGCCACTCCCATTTGGAACCCAGTCTCATCGAAGTTGTAGATATCGCAATCGAGGATACCGTTCGACTCGATAGTGTTCTGCACTCGTTGAAACCACCCCCGCACTTTCTCAGGGTCCTCACACAAGGCTCGTTGGTAGTCGTACTTCCGGAGGTATTTTGACTTCAAGTCCAGGTGTCGGTTCAAGAATCGACGTACCCATTTCTCTCCAACAGTGTTCATTGTTGTGACCGAACAGTCAGTCGCCAGGAAACTGCCTACAGCGGCAGCTACGGGACCTGAGTCTTGCATCACCCTGGGCCTTCTTTCCCAAGGGAATTTGAAGCACAGCGGTATCCGTTTGTCCAATATTGATGCTCAACTTAGCTTTTCAGTCCTCCAGACATCTGACTTGCTGGTAGGTGGATGATGTCATTCCGCAGCCTGTCCGTTTTTGAGACCCGGGATGCGACCGACGGCCAGACGTGGGTATTTTGAGTGATTGGCTGCCAGAGACACTATGTCAATGATCTACAGCGCGATCAAATGTCGGAGACAAGTCGCCCACTGCATGCACTAGACCATCCCTTCAAGAGATCTCTGAAGACGAGGTAAAGGCTGTTATAGCGGCGGTGCACAATGTACCAGCTGGTCAGGGAGTCAAGATGGTGCGGCCGATGAGTGATGATATCTCGGGTGTGACGGACGAGGTGGGGTTCGCCAGGGTTTTGAGGAAGAAGTTGGATGAGAGTTTGTAAAGACGAGGGAGTTTATACACTATCCTAGAACCGATTCGGGTTATCCGCCTCTCCACAGCACGAGTTGCACTATCCCCTCGATCGATGTTAGGTAGCCCTTGTAGTGCAGCAATGGCAAGTAAGTAAGGTCTCCAAACAAAGCCTGGTTACCTCTGAGAGTTGCGGTAGCATTTGCAATAGAAAGTATCGCCATGGTCCATGGAGATTGCAGTCGCAGCGTGGTCCCAGCACGCAGCTGTTCCGAACTCAAAACTCGAGTTTCGCTTTTGCGATTAGTTCGGGGCACGATCATCGGTGATCGCCCGTCTATCACGCCCTCAGGACTCAGCTCTTCTTCCCCTCAATGATTAGGCATTCGCTGATGTCACCTAGCAGCCTCAAATGACTCAAATCCGTCGTTGGACTCGGCGACACCGCAATCACGACCGCAGCAACGTATATACCTTATCGATGATCGACCGGAATTGCAGACATGTCACTGATTGACCAGCAGCCGCAGTTGTCATTGAGCTAGAACGTGTCATTGATCGACGGCGCGATGCCGAGTCCTGTTTCCCTTCCCGCCACCGCTTCCGGATGCGGTTGAGAGTGGGTCACAATCCTCCTTGCACCATTGCTTGGCGACCCATGAGAGCGGGACGGCCCACCTCTGGACTCCGTTATGATTTCGGAAGGGATCGGTCAATCTCGTTCCTGACAAGGGTTGACATCCAGGCCAGGATTGCGGCGGAGCATAGTGCGGATACGGATGGAGCGGACCTGAGGGCTAAGGCGGCTGCTGACATTGTAAAAGAGAATAATGGATGAGTTTAGGAAGAAGTTTAATGTGGGACGTTGTCTTGCCTAAGCCCACTAGTATAGAAATTCGCAGGGTCTCAATGAAGAATTTACGTTGTCACTGGTAGGATGATCGGGGTAAGAGAACTCGACATGTGTACCTATGGTAGTGCCTGTACACCGACACTAGGATTGCTAAGGTACCTAGTGCATTTGAGTGAGAGAATTGGTGTAGTGACTTCAGGTCGTTAGTAGTGCAGGGACAGTTCCAAGTTTAGTTGTATAATGTTGGACTTCGCTGTGTGCCCATGTTCGCTGCTCTGTCCGTCGGCGGTATGCCCATCTAGGCAGCGATGTACCAAGAAATTCCACTTGCCGAGTTCTATCCTCTTTCTACCAAGACATTGCACGATATCTATTAGACAATGTTCTCGAGCCCCCCTACTATCTCCGAGTTAAGGAAAATGCCAGATGGGACTGGGCAATTCAAGGTGTGAATGTTGTCATGGCGTCCGTGATACGTGGTTCTTTCCAGATTTAGCTGCATATGACGTATTGCATCTTTAGAAAAAGCCCATGTATTGGCATGTCGATGCGTGCAGAAGTGTGAGCCGGACTATCTGTCTCAAGAGTGACCAATCATCGCCGGTGCATTCTGGGAGATGCGCAACACCAGGATGCCTCCACTGTCATTCAGGATACCGAACGGGTCGGCCCTGCGCGCTGATTTCGACACCTTGACAGCTAGAATCCACCTCAGCAGCCGGATGGTCCATCGTCCTCTGATCAAATCCACGCAGCGACGAAACTCGTTCATAGAACATCCAAGTCCTCTCGTTCCGCGTAGAACATCGTCGGTCATCGATGTCGATCATCCATGTCGATCATCCATGTCGATCATCCATGTCGATCATCCACGTCCACCGTGGCGTCTACCAGACACTGCTACATGCTACATATAATCCCCCCTCTTGTTCCCTTTCGGACGGGAACCCTTCCTCCAGATCCTTTTCAGAGCCAAACCCAAGTCATTAATTTGCACATAGCCGAGACACGTCTCCCATACCACTTTCTAGCTTTATAGCAGCAAAATGTCTTCTATTCCCATCGCTGTCGTTGTCGCGGACCCCGAGCCCGACGTCGCCCGAGCCATCCAAGTTTCACTCCTGCCCAGGTACGATGGTACGTCAGCCACTAACTGATCCTCATTCCATTCCTACAATTTCCCCGTCCAAACTAACATAAGAGATAAAATAAAACTGGAAATAGTTGTCCATTTCTTTAAGAACGTCGACCAGGCCCTCTTCGAACTCCCCCTCCTGGTTAAGGGCAACTTGGAATTGCCCGACCACTCCGGAATGGGCAGCAACGCCGAGCGTGATGTCCCGGACCGTAAAGTACCCAAGGCACTCGTCGTTTACTCCGATTTGCCCGACTATGTACTGGATACAGTGCGCCAAAGCTTTGCGGATAAAATCAAGGTGCTGGGCGTGCCGCCGGAGTGCGATCCCCAGTTCGTGATGATCCAGTTGGATGATATGCTGTAAGGTGGGTATTATGATTCTCACCAATTCTCTGCTTGCCTTGATTATTCAACTGACTAGGTAGGTAAAAGACGTTGAGGTTGAGTGGGCGTGGCTGGGATAAAGGTTGCGGGTTGATGAACATGGATATGCAGTGCGCTTGGGAGGGATGGTGACTCAGCAGGGGATGAGAGCGTTGAGCAGTGCTTGGTATTGCTTATTTCCAGCTGTGCCCTCCCTGGCTCCTTATGAAATGTTTTAGGAATAGCGGTGTGCTTGATAGTGGTGGTGGTGTGCTTGCTAAGGCTTCCCTTTTCAAGTTAGGTTTCAGTTTCTTCATGTCAGGCAGCATCCTATCGTACTGGTACGGGCAGGAGTTCAAACATGTCCCTAGCGGGGCAAGTGCTTCCCTCTTCGATCTCGCCACCTTGTCCCTTCCATTATCACCGAATCAAAACAGTCATCAGTCACCACACCCTGCCTCTTCCGACTTCCGAGACCGTTCCTTTTTCTTCAACATCATACCTACTCACAGTGTGGCAGTGGCGGGCTAATGCCAACCGCTCATCTACCATGGAGGCCCTTCCTACGGAACTGATACACCATATTTGCACTCATGTCTGCGACCATTGCCAGCTCCCAGGTTCGTTTCCTCACGCCGAGAGTTGGGGCGTGCGTCGGAGAAAAGCAGCACTGGCCAACCTGTCGGCAGCCTCGTCACGGCTCCGTGCCATCGCGCAGCCCTTGCTCTTCCATTATTTCGCGACGGGAAACATGGCACCTTATGGTTACCGGCCTGACGAAAGCCACGTGGGACTGACCCTGGAATTCGCTGAAAGAGCCAAAAAGTTGCCTCTTTTCATCCGCAGCGCTATACAACGCCCCGGCCTCGCTGCCAAGGTGAAGGCTCTGCAGCTCGTCGAATTTGGTACCACTACGGCCTTTGCTTCCGGCAAGATCGGCGACGACTCCAACGAGATGGACGTTCTGGCGGGCTGCATGGGGCCCATACTCGAGAAGACGCGCCGTGCTCTGCCCAACGAAAGTCGGAGAGATTCTGCCTCCTGGAAGTGGGTCATTGATCAGTGGTCGGATGGTACCAAGCGGCGGGGCCCGTTCTGCTGGTCCAAATTGCCCTTCTTCTGGCCCCTAACCTAGAGAGACTGAGCGTCGCTCGCGACTACTCCGGGTATGACTTCTTGGAAATTTCAAGTTGCAATGGACCCCTTACATCGCTCAAGAGCATCGCTTTGCTCCCTTGGACCGGTTACTTCCATATTTACGAGGCAAAAGCACTCTTCGCCGCCGCCCCGAATCTTGAGACTTTGTACGCCTTTGATTGCGGCTTCAAAGAGCCTGGTTACTCTCCATACTGTGGCGTCCCATTCGATCTAAGCCTGGGGAATCTGCAAAAGTTGGTTATCGGCAACCTTGAATTCGCCGACTTGGAAGCGCTGCTCCCCGCATGTCCTCAACTACAGGAACTCCAGTACGTCCGTGCAGAGGATGAGTGGGACGGCGACCAAGACATGGAGGCGCTGGAAGTTTTGATGCCGGTTCAGAAAACGCTACGCGCGCTGAAGATCAAGTCCACCCACTGGGAAAAAGATAGCGCCTATCTTACGACAATCAAGTCCCTCAAGGGCTTCATTGCGCTGGAGGAATTAGTCATTGAGCAAGCTGCCATCCTGGATGACGCGAGGGTGGTGGATTGGCTGCCACCGTCAGTTAAACGTGTGCACTTTCGAGATGTCACCAAAGTATCTTCATTAATGGACCACCTGAGCCTCGTGGCCTCGGAAGCCCCCACGAAGCTACTAAAATTGCAACATATCCGCATTAGCCCGTGGTATTTTTCTGATGGGAATGGAACCGGTCTTTCCTGGATAGCTTCGGTGGACAACGTCACGGCCGCGTTCAGTCAGGCCGGGATTACGGTTGAGCACGTTGACCCAAGGATCGGCGAGCAAGAGCCATGGCTGGATTTGGTCTACCCTGGGCTGGTAGGGAAGATTCAAGACTATAATTATTTTTGATGATGGATTACAATAGGAACATCGTGGACTAGGATCGGCAATGGTCTTTCTCCTTTTCCATCTATTCATTTAGATAGTTAACGTTAGGCCATTTCCCCCAATCTTGGTCGGCACTGCTGATACTTCTATGTGGCTGGCATCTATCTACCAAACTTTCATTCATGCCTTTAGTTATTTTTCTCTCGTTTGTCCAAACTTGTCGCTAATGCAGAGGTGTTGCACCACCAGGAGTTCTTGTCACGACATTCAGACCCAATTCCTCCCACTGCTAGTCTGCAACTTTACCCCCCCCACCCTATTCTCCCTCTTCAGCGCTCAAGACTTCCATTGGCGTTGGCTTTTCTGTGCCCACGACACCAGTCCCGTTACCCTTGTCCTCAGCATCTGGTTCATGCTGTAGCGCCTCTTGTTTCTCCGCCTCCTATTTCTCCTGCGCCGGTTTTGCCGGTGGTGGTGACGCGGAACCAATTTGTCGGGCTGAAGGTGGTCAACGGGGCGCCTTTCCGGGCGGTAGATATCTTCCCCGATCTCGCCGCCGGCACTGTCGCGCTCGCCAGCGACGTGACTTTCCATCTTATGTCCCCCGTGGCCGTCCACTCGAGTCGGACGATAGCGCGGGCCTCGCCACCCCCAGGCTCCCCAACGGCACGATCTTAATCTGTTGTGGGTGGTGCCCCACCTCCTTGGCAGACCGGGTCACCGGGTTGCCCCACATCTGGTGCAGTGTTACAACCCTGCCTACAGAGCCAGGAGGCCTGTATCTTGGCACGACTCCGAAGGCCCTTTTTGACTGCGGTACTTGTCAGCTCAATCCAACAGAAAATCGGTTTTTTCGGAAGGTGAGCCGCCCTGCCAAGGGAGCGCGAGATGGCGGCTGCGGCGCAACCTGAGGCAGTGATCGAGGTGGCCGACCGCCCACCCTCACCGAAACGACCGAGCCGCGCCCTAAAACCGAGTGCGAAAGTCCGTGAAGCGATGCAATCGCTGGAGGATGCGGCCATTACGTCGAGAAGAACCGCAATCAATGCTACACGAAACACCGCATCGAGAGGAACACGCGTACTGGGAAGCGGGAGCGGAGCCAACGGCCAGGCGGAAGCGGGGAAAACAGCGCTCCAAACACTCCTAGAAGCAATCAACGAACAACAAAACGAGACGCGCGGGATAATTGCCGAACAACGGAACACAATCTGCGAACTGCGCGACGTGGTCAGCAAACAACAAGACGCGATCCAGCAGCTCTGTGAAGAGTTGAAACAAGCCCGCGACGTGGTCTACAAACAGCAAGACGCGATTCAGCAGCTCTCTGAGGAGCTGAGACAAGCCCGAGACCAGATAGACGCCCTCGTACGCAACGCAGCCCCTCCTC